TTTTCTGTCTTGTTTTGTTTTTAAGTGTTTCTCACCAGGCAGTTAATGAAAAATCCCTTTGGAATTCCCGAACTGCCCTGATTCTCAGCCCCCAAAGCCGAGCTTTGTGCCTTCCTGAGAGACCAGCACCCTCGGCCTGTGTGTGTGTGTGTGTGTGTGTGTGTGTGTGTGTGTGTAGACGATCAGCATGGTGATTACATTGTGCAAGGTGATCATTAAAAGGTTCCCAGCTATACTTAAGACGACGGCTTTCCCCCCTCTTTTGAATCACATTACTCTAATGAAGCGATGGCTGCAGACTTGGCATTGCCTTGACTCTTGGTTTTGCTGCGTTAGGGGTGAGATGGGGAAGGATCACTTGCAGGTTTGTGAACATCAAAGATGGTGGTTGGTTGGTTTTTTTAAAATTTTATAATTTCTTAAGACATGGGCTTTTTTTTTTGACATGGGCATTTTAAAGGCTGTTTCTGATCATGAGCCACAAGAAAATGCATCTGAAAAGCACGGGACTTTATTGTTTAGCTGTGGACCCCTGGTGGTGTAGTGGTCAGCAGTTTGAAACCAGCAGCTGCTCTGCAGGAGAAGGACGAGGCTCTCCACTCCCTCCGTCAAGAGTTAGAGTCTGGGAAATCTACAGGGCCAGTTCCAACCTGTCCTGTAGAAGCCGGCATGGACTGGATGGTAGTGAGGGAGGGCGTGTTTAGCTTAGGTTGTTTAATTTTCTTTTTAAAATCAGCAAGTCTGCATTGCTATGTAAAGAATTTCTTTCAACATCTTTCTCTCCCCCCACCCCCTCCCTCCTTTCCCTTCCTCTCTTCCTGTGCATACTTGTTTGGGGCAGAGAGAGATGCTTGATCTAAACTGGGATCCTTAGCATCTTACTCATGTTCTTGAATTGAATAGGGTGCAGGCTCCGGGGCTGCTGGTGTTACCGCCCCGGCACCCTTGTTTAGTCGATGTGACAGCCTGCCAGTCGTAGTAGCCGGAAGCCCATTTCCACATCTGTAAAATGGGTGCCTGGCCTAGGAAGTCGCACGCCGTGGGGAAATCACCCTGATTTCTCTGAAGACATCTTCCTTAGAAGTAATAAGGTAAGTGGGGACTGAGTCTGCCGAGTTACCTGGATGCCTGCCCTTAATATAGTCAGGGCCCTTAAATGACACGGCTGTTGCTGGTAGGTGCCTCAGGTCGGTTCTGACCCGCAGTGACCCCGTGCACACAGAACGACCCCGTGCCCATCCTGCGCCATGCTCACCGTCGACCCTGTGCCCGAACCGATGGCTGCAGCCACGGTGTCGGTCCATCTCCTCGAGGGCCTGCCTCTGGTTTGCTGCCCGGCTGCTCTTGGAGACAGGATGTCCTCCAGGGACTGGTCTCTCCTGACAGCGTGTCCAAAATACGTAAGGAGAAGCCGCACCTCCTTGCCTCTGAGGGGCATGCTGGCTGTACTTCTTCCAGGGCTTCAAAGAGTTCCATGATCTTTTAACTCCCATCTTTCCTTGACATTCTGGAAACACCCCCCCCCCCGACCCCCCCAGTATTTAGGCGTCTTTCCGTTGGGTCTCTTGCATGGCATGGTGTGAAGTGTCACTCCAGAGGCGGGGGCAGCGC